CAGGCGGGTCTCGAACCCACGGGCCCAGGCAATCCACTCACCTCAGCCTCCCAAAGTACTGGGATTACAGGCTAAGCCACCGAACCTGGCTCCCATTTAAAAATTTATAACCAACACAGTACCTCCCACCACACGCTGGTCACTGAAGTCTAATACCCTGAGGCCCAGAGCATTAACATGGGTGCCAAGAGTGACTTGTTACTGAACAGTCTTCATAATACCTTTCTTGCCATCTTCCTAGTCAAAGAACTTCTTAAAACCATAAGAGGAGCCATTTTAACAGCAGTCGCCATCTGTATTACTAATGTAGATAAAATGTAGATATTCTCAAGAAAGTGCAATCAAAGTAAGAAAAGTGGATGCTACAAGCTGATCTGGACTGCAGGTGCAATTCATACTTGTGTCGTGTAAACAGGCCCGCAGTTCTTATTGAGCAGACATTTATACACATCTGCATGAACAGAACAGCATTTATACCACTTTTATATCCTGATGCACTGAGGTGGGGGTTCCTATACCCCACATGTTGAAAACCATGGCCAAGGTGATCCTGTCTGTTCTATGAAAGTCTATACAACCAGATCCTGGTCCGTGGCATCCTGGGAACCCCCATTACAGTCTGTTCCTGCCATGATGATGATGTTAATGCTTCCTATTTACAGAAGGCTCTGAGGCCTTCCATATCATAAGAGACAAGAATATGCCACCCCAAAATATGACTGTAGAGACCAGAATAAGCCACCCCAAAATATGTCTCTTTGGCATAAGGATTATTTTGAGCTGATTATTTTGAGAAACTGCAGACACAGGACAAGCTCCCAAAACAGAGAAATAGTTACCCTTTGGTAAGAGAAATTTACATCTATAAGGGAAATCTCCATTAAGAAGGGTGTCTTCCCTTCTGTACCCGGAAGAGAAGGATGACTAAATCACTAGGGACTCCTATCAGTGGAGAAAGTACCTCATAAACCTGACCCTTGTCAACTGCACTTTTCCTGGATATTTCCCCATAGCTGGCCTTCCCCGCATCCTTCATCTCTATTTCAGGGAATGATGATATTTAAGCCTAAGGTCTAATCTCCAAAAGGACCGACACATTTCTCTGGGCATCTTTCACAGATACAACATAAGGTGTACATTTCATTAAACTTGCTTGTTTTCCTCTTATTAATCTTTTGTCACGTGGTCTGTTCCAATGAAGACCCATGAAGAGTACGGAGAAAATGATTTTTTTTCCCCTCCCTACACTATACATTATCTGTACTGATCTAAACCGACCCTGTGAGTGCTTTGTGAGCTGAAAGACATGGGCGT